CTAAAATGTGTTTTAATGTTACTATTAATGTATGATTTTGAATATTATCGGTCTTTAAATGCAAGATATTTAAAGTGTACCTGAAGTATACTTGCAAGAGTTCTACTTTAGCACAACCAAATGTAGCGTCTGGACCAATCAAACACACAATATATATTTCGTTAATTTTCCACTAATCATTTAATTGTAAACCTTAACCTCTTAAACCCAATATGGGGCCGCTGCTAAGTTTCTGTCATGTTACTTGACAACCACTTGCTTCACCAACACAAGATAGGTGTCAATTTAAAGCTTAGAAACTTGTGTTTTGCGCATTAGCCACACGTATCTCAAAAGCGCTATTGTTTAAATGATTAATGGCAATTAATTGATCATTAATTCATTGCATCCCATATGGACTACATTTATGCTACTCTTACAGTGCTTTTATGTCATTTCACATATATGTATATAAAAACATGGTACGTTTTGGATAATGATAGTGAGTAAATAATGGCAGAACTTTCATTTTTTGGGTAAACTACTCCTTAAATCACACACTCTCTCATATGTGCAGTATAAACATTATTTATGCAATATTTATGTGTTTAGTTTCCACTCAGTAACTTGTGTGCAGCTAAACTGTGAGGCTAGCATGTGCGGTATTCCGCAGCTCCCGTCTGTCCTCGGCTAAGCCTGCAGGGCTGAGCTCCTCTTAACCATGGAATCGCCAGCACTGCACTCCCTCTCTTACGTAACTCTCTGATAGGCCTAACCCTTATGCGTAACAGCGGACAGGGGCAAGGAGCCTGCGAGAACAACCACATGCTCATTTTTGTGCGTCGTTTATGAATGTATAACGTGTACGCTAATTCTTATTCCTTGGTTCTGATGCTTTTCGACAGATGCAAAATGCACACGTCTTGGTGTAGTTAAACAGAAAACAAATTTGCAAATCTCTAATGGTTTTAGCAACACTAAGATGTTAAAAATCTAAAGAGGTAGTTAAATCCGTCGCTAACATCCCTCTAGGTTTTTCTATTTACATATTTCATCTCATCCTTTTAGGTTTTTAATCCCTTAAGGAAGTCAAATCAGTATAGGTGCCACAATGACAAATGGGCAGTGTCGTTGTATTGGTAGGGATGGCGATGACATCATGCCCTGTTGGAATGTCATGGTGGTGTGGATGATTGCTCTGACAGGCAGACTATACAGGCCTCCTACCCACAAACCCAGGGAGGCTGTGGTCGTCCTGGCAACAGTGACACAGACACGGACGTCTCCTTATTTCATATGACAGGTCTACGCACACAGGCCCTGTGGCCATTCTCACACAAACAGACACATCCAATATATTCATTCAGACCCAAACACACTCATACTCAACCCACAAACCATTTATTAAACACGCGTGAACGGAATTTATTTCTCAACTTCTATAATGCATTCGGCGATTCAAATTTTGACTTGCTAACGTAACTAAACTAATTCTAACACGACATAAACACGCGCAGCATGGCATATTTTATCGATGGTCAATACTGCTGTGGCCTAGCAATCCAGCGCCCTGCTTTTAGAGGGCTATAAATAACTTCACAGCTTTTGTGTGCAGTTTAAGGTTAAAAGAGTTATTTTACAACACCGTTTTTTTTTTTGTATGAATGTGTTCAGGTTTCTATGCTCATTTGACCCAGTTTGGCTCTGGCACTGGTCAAAGTGGGTCACGAGAGGAACCGGTCCAGTGTCTGGGGCCAATGGCGAAGAACTCACAGTCCTTGTTACCACACACATAGCCTGAAGATTTAAGTACCAGAGCATTTTACACTGCTGAAAACACCATTCTGTATTATTTGGCCTTAAAAAGTAAGGACAGGGTGTGCTAGTTTTTCTTTTTGAATAACTATTTTCACATGTCTTACTGTGTCCCCGCAGATGATAATATTAGTGCCTCAAGATGAAATGCAGTGATTACAGAATAATTAATTGTTCTGAGGAGCCCTAAAAGTGTACATAACTCATTCTAATGAAGTAAAATGAAAACACTCAGGAGCATTCATAAGTTACTGTTAAGCATAATGGTTTCAGTTTTGATGCAAAACAGGTAAAGGCACAGTTATCCATATAGGAATATTTTTGTGGCATGCTGTCAGTAACCACATCCATCCATCTATCTATCATTAAAAATAGTACATTTAGTCATTTAGCAGACGCTTTTATCCAAAGCGACTTACAAATGAGGACAATAGAAGCAATCAAAACCAACAAAAGAGCAATAATATGCAAGTGCTATGACAAGTCTCGGTTAGCCTACCGCAAAAGTAAAAGGTAGCAAATCAATTTGCCAAAAAGACATTGAAATGTATAAAAAATATATTTACTGAGGTATTTTTTGTAGTTGTTTTATAATTTCCCACCATTGGTCTATGGCTGCACAATTAACCTATCCCATTAGAACACTAAAATGTTCTTTCTAGATTTTTTTTCTCCTGGTAAAAATTTTAGCTACAATGTCGAGCGTAGAACGTCACCTGACCAAATCCGGAAAAAATCGCTTCCGCTTGTCGGAAAACGTATTAGGAGACATATTAAATAGCAACGATATATCTATCGACTTTTAAGGTAATCAGTTAAACTAGTTTTTATTGTTGATGTTTTATTAAATTTTTATATGTAAATGTTAGTGAAAAGAATAAAAAAAAAACTTTTAGATATCAATCCTGATATGTGATGGACATTGGTTGTGATCATTTTTGTATCTACTTTGAAGGCATCTTGAGTAAAACAGCTTCATATTTAATGAAGCATATGCAAAACGCTTGAACCGGAAGCGACGAGACCCATTTAACAGAATATGGAAGTCTGTTGCGCATAACCCCTATTGTCAATCCTGCTTCACATTTCAAGTCAATTCAAGGTGATATTGTCATGGGAACGACCGTACTTGTGGTCCCTGTAGCTGAGGGTCATTGAGGGCAAACACCCACCCCCATAACCACCAAACCCACAGACACTGTGGCTTAAGTCTAGTGTGCTAGACAGAGACAGGAAGAGCTACAGCCCAGACCTGCCACAGCTTAACCAAGCAGCACTAGTTAATGTATATGTGTGTGTGTGTGTGTGTGTGTTAATCCCATTATATTGCCCACAGTGTGTGTTTATGCGTGTACATTAAATTTTTCATATATTAATAAATGTTGCACAAATTTCACAAAAGCAAATATTCACATATCATTCATAAATCATGTGTATGCATATTCACAGTATGAATAATAGATAATACATACTGGTCAGCGTATAATATATACTCAAGTCAGCCTGTCTGAGTTTTTTATTCTCACAGTCAGATTAGCAGCGCACACACATAACTAGAGATGCACTCACACTTTCAAACCTCTGAGCTTCACACTGCGGTCTCGAGTCAGGTGTGTGTTTGCGTCTACAGTGCTTCTGTCTGAAAATGAAGACAGATGTTGTAGGTAAGAGGACATTTCTGGTTTAAAGGGGTCTTAGTTTGTTTTGCAGTTAAAATATCACTTCACATTCAAGCAAGTACAATATAATTTCATTTAAGCTCTTTTATGAAGAACTGCTGTTCTTAATAATGAATTTGGCTGGTAAAAATAGCAGCAGTGCTTTATGTATTTTGTCATTTTTACAAATATTCATTTATTGCTTGATTTCATTTGTTTTTATGTATTATCTTATTCTTTAAGTAAATTTCCTGTAAACTGTGCAGAAATGGAAATAAACTCAACTCACAAATGTAAAATTTTGTAAAAAATTATGCAAAATTGTTGTACATATATATTTATATGAAAAATTTAACCGTTTTTTAATCTGGAGTCATAGCTCAGATGCGTATTTTGTATGTTTAATTGATTTAATGTAAAGCATAAATGCGTATAAACTAACATTGCGGTTAAATCTTAGATCATGAAACTCATGATTGACATTATATGACTTTATATTAATATTGTGGTCAGTTTTGGTAAGTTGTATTGTGAGTGATGGATCTTGCATGGAACTCACTTAGCAGTTCGTCTGCTTCTAAACTATATTGGAATTGCTTCTGAGACTGCTGTTGCATTTGTATTTGTTTCATTAGCGAGCTGCTTGGACTAATTGCTTGTTCCTGTGGTCCTAAAGAAAACAAAATCTACATGCAAATGTACAAGAATAAAATTACCCATAACAGTATAAGAAATATTGCATTTGTTCTTTTTTGTACATTTTTATGTCATTATAGGCAAATGTGAGTTTGCGTTTGAGTGAGGAAAGATTCATTGAGAATTGCTGCATCAGATAAGCCAGTTGAGAGCAGGGGAACAAGCATGTGTAGAAATAATTTAGGATTAGATTGGGTGGCTAATCTCTTTATTGTGAGTATGCAGTCTCAGCAGGGAGATGGGTTTCTCTCTCTGTCTTCCTCTCCCTCACTCTCTTTCTCTCTCTCTCAAAGGTCTCCTTTTATCTTTTCTTTTACATTTCCTAGTGACACGAGCAAGAGAAGGGAAGGTTGGAGCTGAGCCTCACGGCCATGTGTTTGTATTTGGTTCCTCATTAAACAACTTGCCATATTCTGGTTACGTAATTCAGTGTGTAGCTTGCTTCTGCCTTTGCCTTGTACATGTGCAAGGTTATTTTCATCAAGGAAATCTCTCAAGCATTATGCTTCAAATGGATAATGGAAGAAGAACATTTTGACAAAAGCACAGGTGAGAACCCATTTTGGTGAACCTGAGAGAAATGCATCAAGGGGTTTGGACCTTGACTCACATCTCTCGGCTGGTCTAATGTTTCTCTTTCTGTCTTGAAAGAACCACACATTACAAAATGTCAAAGTGTCTTGACACAAATTTAAAGGGTACATCAACTCTAAAAGCAACAACAGTCTTAGAGTCAAGGTGGCCATTGTGTCACCTGAGAGGTGCCCTGATGTGCATCCCACAGTCTTCATCAGGCAAATAAAGGCATATGGTTACATAATTGTATTTTTGTTCATTTCTGTCTGTTTTCAGCCCAAATTGAAGTCATACCATGCAAAATCTGTGGAGACAAGTCATCAGGCATCCACTATGGAGTCATCACATGTGAAGGCTGTAAGGTCAGTGAAAGATGTGCCGTTTATTCGGTGCATTTGTAAGTCATCATACAGGTGTTCCAGCCATTCATATACTTTAGCAAAAAAAATAAAAATCAATACTTTGTTTTGGAGGAAAGCTATGTAAGCATTCTTAAAACAAGATAAAGTTATCCAATGCAGTTTAAATGTTCAATATTACGACCTGATTTCATAGAATGAATGATTAACAATGACAGATTATATTAATATAATTTTTTTCATTTATAATAATAATAATAATTCATTTTATTTATGGGCACTTTTCAAATCATTCAAGGACACATTACACATAATAAAATACATAAATAATAAATGAAAAGAAAACAATGCACAATAATACACAAAACCTTTTCAATCAAAATAAGCTAATCTTAAAAAAATTATTTAAAAAATTGAAACACTACAACTATTACAAATGTCTTGACGTAAGGTATGCCAAAGACTAAAGACTATATACTGTTTTCATTCTAGACAGAATAGGTTCATTCTCAGAAAAAAAAGTACAAAGCTGTTACTGGGGCAGTACCCTAAGGTACAAAAGCCAAAAGGTACATCTTTGTACCTGATTTAGCCCTAGATGGTACATTTTTACCTTAATAAGGTACTAATATGTACCTTATGTATGTACTTTAAAAGTACATACATAAGTACCTAAAGTGTACAAATTAGTACCTTTTGATATGGTGCCACCCCAGTGACTGATATTTCTGCATGTTACGTATCTAAATTTTCTGTTGTTGTGTCCACTGTAGGGTTTCTTCAGGCGCAGTCAACAGAACAATGCGTCCTACTCTTGTCCCCGCCAGCGCAACTGCCTGATCGACCGAACAAACCGCAACCGCTGCCAGCACTGTCGGCTCCAAAAGTGCATGGCTCTGGGCATGTCCCGGGATGGTAAGTGATATCATATTCTTTCTTACAAACGAACAACTAATCAGCTGCTTGTCAACAAGCTGGATTGATCTTATTGATCGCTTTAAACCTGCACTAATCTCATTAATTTTCTTTCACCCTCCCCCATATCAGCTGTTAAGTTTGGCCGCATGTCCAAGAAGCAGAGGGACTCTTTGTACGCAGAGGTTCAGAAACACCAGCAGAGGCTGCAGGAGCAGCGGCAGCAACAGACGGGCGAAGCGGAGGCCCTCGCCCGTGTTTACTCCTCCAGCCTCACCAACGGCCTCAGCACCCTCAACCACGAGATTGGGGGGACGTACGCCAACGGTCACGTCATAGACATGCCCAAGGGTCAGCCGAACGGCGCTCCCGGTGGCTACTACGGCATGGATTCCACGCAGGCCAGCCCGGATCAGTCAGGACTGGACATGACTGGAATGAAGCAGATCAAACAGGAACCCATTTACGATCTCACCCCTGTTTCCAACCTTTTCACCTACGGCTCCTATCAAGACAGCCAACTAGCACCTGGAGTGTCTATGGGGGAATTAGGTACGGAATTAAGTTCATGGTTCATGGGTGTATATTTAAAATGCTTTCTAGCAAACATATTTACCTTGGTTGCAAGAAACAGTGGTCCTACTGTATATTCTGATTTTCTCTTTACCAGACCGAATTGCACAGAACATCATAAAGTCCCACCTGGAGACGTGTCAGTACACAGCGGAGGAGCTTCAGCAGCTAGCCTGGCAGACGCACTCCTATGAAGAGGTCAAGATGTACCAAAGCAAGGTGCGAGGTCACTCCCTTAAGGAGCAAAGAGCTCAGTTTACATGCTTAAAGGTCCCCTGAAATGCTTAGAAACACGCAGCGTTACTCTATGTGTTGACATCATTTTAACTGAAACAGGAAGACAGGGTTCCTCTGTCCCTGAATCTCACTCACAACGCCAAGTCGTTCATTCATTTACATGCTTTTACACCTGCTGCTGACTCTCTCATCTCTCACCCTTTAACTCCGTACTTCGTTCCCTCTTAAAAGTCAGATTGCACGCTTGAGATCAGAGTTCATTAGAGTATCTCAGCCCCCTGGAGCTGATCCTATCCAGCTTTCGCACAGATATGGAGAAAAAGAGAAAGCCAGAGAGCTAACGGATTTAGCTAACGAACACTCAAAGCACAATAGGGGAGGGTGCCAGGCGTACTACAAGCCCTCTTCATTTGCCTGTGTCAAATGGATTATGGGTAATTACCAAGAAGCCCTTTGAAATAGTGCCTATGAAGATTTGCTATACAGGGAGAGAATTGCAGAGCTCACAAAAGCAATTTGCTGATATCTCATTTTCAGTATTCTGTGTGCTCTGAAAGGATGTTTCATAAATGGGAAACTACAAATTCTGCCTTTTTTGTCGCAATTTTTCATGAGTACTGAAAATTTCAATCATTACTTTTTAAAAGTAAATTAAAGAGTAAGAGTGTACTCTACAGAAGAGATAGGTCTACATTAATTCAGGGAAACTGTTTTGTTTCATCTCCATTTTTTTATATATTAACACTTTTTATTCAGCAAAGTTGCATTAAATTGATCAAAAGTCCTAGTAAAGACAAAAAACTACTATTAAATAAATTATGTTCTTTTGAACATTCTGTTCATCAAAGAATCCTGAAAAAATGTATCACAGTTTTCATTGATACACTGATAATAATAATAAAAAAAAATTTTAATGAGCACCAAATCAGCAGAATAATAGAATGATTAGAATGATTCCTGAAGGATCAGAAATCTACTGAAATCTAAAACATCTACTGGCTACTGAAAATTCAGCTTTTCCATTCCAGGAATAAATTACATTTTAAAATATATATAAAAAAGTTAATGTTGTTTTAAATTGTAATTATATTTCACAATATTACTGTTTTACTGTGTTTTTTATCAAATAAACGCAGCCTTGGTGAGCATAGAAGACGCTTTAAAAAGCAATATGTCCTGACTTTAAACTTTTGATCCCTAGTGATATTTGTGATTTCTTTAAATATTTTTGGATGCGATTAGACAATAATGATAATAATTCAAATATTTTCAATGCATCAAAAAAAAAGCGAAATTACTGCAATTATTAACGGAGAAAAAAATGTTTCCCAGAAGCATGCAAGAATTGATCCAGAACACGTCACAGATGACAAGCTTATGAATGAGGCTTATGTGTGTGTTTCAGACACGGGACGTGTTGTGGCAGCAGTGTGCTTTACAGATAACTCATGCCATTCAGTATGTGGTAGAGTTTGCAAAGCGCATCACTGGCTTCATGGAGCTTTGCCAGAATGACCAGATATTACTACTCAAATCAGGTGAGGAACAGCCTCTGCCAAACTCGTTTGTGGATCCACACTATAAAACAGAATGACCAACTGTACATATACACACCATATTGCTACTGATTACGATTGGCCTGCTTAACACTTTTCTCACATACTCAGGTTGTCTGGAAGTAGTGCTGGTCAGAATGTGCCGGGCATTCAACCCTCTCAACAACACGGTTCTGTTTGAGGGGAAATATGGAGGCATGCAGATATTTAAAGCTCTAGGTACAACTACTTCCTATTGTCTCATTTATATTATATTTTCTGTATCATTTACAAAATGTACATGAAATAAAAATAGTTGAACATCATGTTAAAGGGTTAGTTCACCCAAAAATGTAAATTCTGTCATTAATTACTCAGCCTCATGTCGTTCCAAACCAATTAGACCTTCGTTCTTCTTCGGAACACAAATTAAGATATTTTTGACGAAATCCGAGAGCTTTCTGACCCTGCATAGACAGCAACGCAACTGACACGTTAAAGGCCCAGAAAGGTAGTAAGGACATCGTTAAAATAGTCCATGTGACATCACGCATGCGTCGTAGTACTTTCGTGAACGCATGTCGAAGACTGGCACGGAAGAGAAGAAATTGTTAAATTAAGTCATTGTTTTTGTTTTCTTTGCACACAAAAAGTATTTTCGTAGCTTCATAAAATTAAGGTTGAACCACTAGTGTCACATGGACTATTTTAATGATGTCCTTACTACCTTTCTGGGCCTTGAACATGGTAGTGCGGGTGAGTAATTAATTACAGAATTGTAATTTTTTGGGTGAACTAACCTTTTAATAAAACTGCATTAATTGTAAATTATTAGTGAAAATTTCAGCATGCAATCTGATATACTGTATTTACCTCCTGCAGGCTGTGACGACCTGGTCAGTGCAGTGTTTGACTTTGCCAAGAGTCTGTGTTCACTGCAGTTAACGGAAGAGGAGATCGCCCTGTTTTCTGCTGCAGTGCTCATTTCTACAGGTCAGGCCTCAACAGTATCTTAGTTAGAACATAAAGATGTGTTCATTGAGTATTCATGTGGCCAAATCAACATTTAGTATGTTTATTTAATGAAACTATAGTCTGAGTCCTACACAGCCTACAACAGATTTCTCAGCATTCCTGCAGTGTTTTCACACCAGCAGATATTAAAAGATGATTCTCTTGCATTTCTAGACCGGCCGTGGTTAATGGAGCCCAGGAAAGTGCAGAAGCTACAAGAGAAAATCTACTTTGCCCTGCAGCACATCATGCAAAAGAACCATCTGGACGAGGACGCGCTGGCCAAGGTAGGACGTCTCAAGTGACCGTGACACAGTTCAAACAGGGACTGATCACCTGACTGATGTAACTCAAATAGATTGCTGTTTTATCATGTGACCCTTATTCCTCTGTACCCCGTTCTGCAGCTGATTAGCCGGATCCCCACGCTGTCGGCTCTGTGCACTCTCCACACAGAGGAGCTTCAGGCCTTCCAGCAGCTCCACCCAGAGACAGTTAACATGCTGTTTCCCCCCCTCTATAAGGAGCTTTTCAATCCCGATGCCGCTGGCATCATGCCCAAATGACCGCACACGTTCACACGCACACTTCGCATACTCGTTCATTCAATAACCGGAGGTGTTGCAGAGGATGAGCACTGTGTCGCACGCAGCATCCGCAGATTTTGCCACCACAACAAAAAAGAAACTCTAGGAATGTCCTGCACTTCATAAATCCAATTCAATTTCACCGGTACAGTCATAAGAATGTATATATGCGCCAGCAGCAAAAGGCGCCTTCCGTTTGACCAGAAATGTACAGACTTTAGGACAATTTAAGCTGTCTTTAAATTGGGTAAGTTAATTTGTTGTTTTGACTTTTCTCGCTCTCTCTCTTTTTTTCTCTTTACAAAATATTGTTATATTGAAATGAGAAGGTGGGGAGTGCATTCAAAATGATAATGTAGTCTTTCTCTAGTACAAAGCGGTATTCCAGTATTAAATCTTGTTCTGTTAATATTTTAGTCATAATTTAAAAACAACAGTGGTCTGAAAGGCCCGTACCTTGTCTATGTAATTTTTCGTTTTGTTTTGTAGTTTTACCTGTACAGAATATGTGAAGTTGAAACTGGTATAACGGGGAACTAAATTAGTTTGGCCACGTTTAAAAGCCTTGTCTGGGCTATGTAGATATGTATAAACGGCACCACAACATTAATCCTACAACTAAGGATTTTTGAAGTGGAAAAATAATTGATAATGGATACTTTTCCATACAAAAGTATAGAGATATATATTTTACAAAAAAATTGTATAGCTGATTACCATCTTGTCAGTCATAGTTGCAATAACAGTTTCTGTAACTGCTGAAAAACAATCCGGTCAAATGTGACTTTATGGAAAGCCCTCAGAACTGCTTCAAAATGCTGTTTTTACTGCCACACTGCCAAAACTAATATAGCACTAGTGTAGTTGAGCTGCAGCCGTCTGTCTGGGAAGACATAAATCACTAGTACATGATCATTTACTGCCACTGATAAGTCAAACTCAACTCTTTTCTGCCACATTCATAGACTATTCTCTGACTTTAGCAATAATGTCTATTATGTCATTACATGCCTAGGTCAGGCTGGGTCTGTGGTATTCTTAACCTTATGCTAAATGTAAAGCACTTATCCTTATTTTCAACATCAATTCATTAATGTTGTCTGTGTTTTTGGCAATGCATAATTCAAGATAAAAATCAGTCAATACCAAAAATGACGTTTTTCAAAGAAAACAGTCATGGAATTTAAGCGATCAATTGGAACATTGACTCATTTTTAAAAATCATTTCAGACATTCTACTGGATTTTTAAAATCATGATTTGGAACTAATCCTGAAAGATCACAATCAAATCGGAATTCCTATAAATTAAGTTCCTACGGAGTAAACGGAAATTTCTATTTTTCATGTTCTTATTTATGTATTTAATATTTTATTTATTTATTTACTTTTTCAACACAAAGTGCTACATTTAGGGATAAAAATGGAATATCGTTCTGATTAGGTGATTGTCTTGGAGTTTACCTGGTTACGAAACAATTTTAGCAAAGCAGCTTTAAATACGACATTCTTAGACAGTCATTCTTAAACAACCACTTAGAAGTTTCCTGTAACTCAATATTGCTGAGCATCCTTAACTTGCTGTAATCCACTGTTTGTAAAAATCTTAATGCAATTGGGAAATGACAATCATCTTGACTACTCATATTGCAGTATAGAACAACAAAATGCAGCTACAGTAGGAAGACTAGTAGTTCTATGAGGGCAGTTTGGGTTTGGACCCTTTCGGTCCAAGGTAAATCTTGTAAAGTACCACCTCATACCACCAGGTGGAGACACTGAGAGCGCTTTTCCCTCTTCTCTTGACCGGTACTCACAGGATGTAAAGCCAATGACGTTTTTCAAAGAAAACAGTCATGGAATTTAAGCGATCAGTTGGAACATTGACTCATTTTTAAAAAATCATTTCAGACATTCTACTGGATTTTTTAAATCATGATTTGGAACTAATCCTGAAAGATCACAATCAAATCGGAATTCCTATAAATTAAGTTCCTACGGAGTAAACGGAAATTTCTATTTTTCATGTTCTTATTTATGTATTTAATATTTTATTTATTTATTTACTTTTTCAACACAAAGTGCTACATTTAGGGATAAAAATGGAATATCGTTCTGATTAGGTGATTGTCTTGGAGTTTACCTGGTTACGAAACAATTTTAGCAAAGCAGCTTTAAATACGACATTCTTAGACAGTCATTCTTAAACAACCACTTAGAAGTTTCCTGTAACTCAATATTGCTGAGCATCCTTAACTTGCTGTAATCCACTGTTTGTAAAAATCTTAATGCAATTGGGAAATGACAATCATCTTGACTACTCATATTGCAGTATAGAACAACAAAATGCAGCTACAGTAGGAAGACTAGTAGTTCTATGAGGGCAGTTTGGGTTTGGACCCTTTCGGTCCAAGGTAAATCTTGTAAAGTACCACCTCATACCACCAGGTGGAGACACTGAGAGCGCTTTTCCCTCTTCTCTTGACCGGTACTCACAGGATGTAAAGCCATGTCAGTTTCTTATGAAGGAAAGAACACAAACACACAAGCTAGGAGTTGACATGCGGTTATACCGATCAGTGAATTTTTAGTACGTCTTGATGCATTTATATTTTGAAATGCACTTGAAAGCACTTAACTATGAAGGATTAATAACTACAGATGGTATTGGTATTTAATACATGCACAAATGTAGTCTGCTGAGAAGCAATCATGCCACCTGTTCAAGTCCTCCTACTGAACCAAACGCTCTCAGCCCAATTTTAGGGAATTTTTCCAATGCCTTCAGTGTCAGTTTCCTGTTCAAGACAATCATTTCTGGGTGCAGTTTTTTCCTGGCACCCATCTCAGGGACTTCTCTTTTAATGTTTTCAATAGAAAGAGAGTACTATTTTAAAAAATATGGACATTTTTAGGGAATAAAATACAATCACAGCGGTTTCTTCACATACAAAACCAACCCAGACAAGGCTTTGGTGTGTGTGTGTGTGTGTGTGTGTGTGTGTGTATATAAAGCATATTCCCAACGTTGAGTGGTGAAACAAGCTCGACTGCAGAACAGGCCTCGCTGCACTGCATCGCTTGTTGTACATCCCAGCAAACAGCTCTCTCTCTCTCTCTCTCTCTCTCTCTGTAAATATCAATGTGCAGCAGTGTACTAGCAACGGTGCCTGTGCTCCAAATTAAAACGTAATTATTAAGCATCTCCTGAAATGAAATGGATTTTATGTAAGTTAGATTATTTATACAGAGCATGAATAAGCTGCTCTCTATCTATTTCTATGCTCATTACAGAAAATGGATTCAGTCAGAAATCATTTTAAACTTATGATGAAGGCTTTTTTTTGTATTAGACTGTGAATTGAGGGCGAGAGGAATTTGTATCTATATGAGAACACTGTTAGGTACTGTAGCAATAACTGGAAGCATTTACTGCAGTCATCTTTGCATTCTAAGATTATTTAAATTTTACTATAATTCTATTATTATTAGCCTATTGTTCAGTTATTCTTGCATGCCGGTTCATAATAATGAAACCTTTGGGCTTTTGTGTTTTTTATGTGTTGATGATGAAGGGTGGGCAATGGGGAGGGCTCGGGCTCGTTTTATTCTGAATGTTTCTGGGTTGGTGTTGACGGAACACAACACACCCTGTTCATTCTGTTCGTGGACACAGACATAAGCACAAAGTATTTCTTACTGTGAAGGAATAAAATAATACAAAGGCATTGAAGGTCAAAACATACTTTACGCAAGTGCGTGAACGCGGACGCAAGCTTGTTGCGCACGAGGCGTTATGGCGGGAATTTTTCTTTGAGGACAAATTTGAGGACTGTTATGTGGGGCAGTTAGTTAACCGTTAGTTAAAGTCTGTTTATTACAACTTACCTGAATAATAACATCTGGGTTTCTGTCAGAACATCTGAATGTAACTTTATCGCCCTGGTGAGGTTTGTTATCGCCGCTAGACCAACGCAAGAGCTCACGTTGGCAGTGCGTCGATTAAGTGCTTGCGTCTGCGCATGCGTACTTCGAGTATGTTTCGACCCTTACAAATGTGACCCTGGACCACAAAACCAACCATAAGGGTCTTTTTTTTTATTATTGAGATGTATACCTCATCTGGGTTAAAGCTGAATAAATAAGCTTTCCACTGATGTATGGTTTGTTAGGATAGGACAAGATTTGGCCGAGATACAACTATTTGAAAATCTTGAAAACCAAATGAAGTTCTTAGCAATGCATCCTATTACTAACCAAAAATTAGGTTTTGATATATTTACGGTAGAAAATTTACTAAATATCTTCATGGAACATGATCTTTACTTAATATCCTAATGATTTCTGGCATAAAAGAAAAATCGATAATTTTGACCCATACAATGTAGGCTATTGTTGACTATTGCTACAAATATACCCGTGCTACTCATGACTGGTTTGTGGTCCAGGGTCACAAATTTGCCGATTCAAGTCTCCTATACTTCCACTAATCGAGGACGAATATATCAACTATAGGCATACACTAGTCCTACACTTGAAATGAAGGAAACAACATGTCTGTGTGTGATTTTGAGTGTATACCTACATGTGACCACAGACGGCTATTCTACTGAACACTACTGATGCATACTACACATTTCAGTTTTTTCCTTTTCTTTCTTAAATATTTTTGTTAATTTATTAATCAGAATGTGTCTGTCTCCCTGGATGAAAAACAACAGCAGCAGCAAAACAAACAGGTAGCATCTGTTACCAAAACCCTTAAGACTGTACTTAGCGTGCAGCATCTTTTTATGTACTAAATATGTAAACATTTTTGTTTTCAAGTGCCATAGCTAGTGTGAAGTGAAGCTGAATGGCATTACGGGGTAGATGCTTTACTGTATAAGTTGTTTACTTGAGAAGCAATCAAAAAGTGGAATTCAGATGCAAGTGTGAATATTCAAACAACCAAATGTTTGTTGTTCATGGAGAACGGGCTCTGATTGACAGAACTTTAGCGCATGTCCACAATACAAGTAAAGCACATGTAGCAAGGGAGGGTGGGGGCTTCTGTTAACTTGCCAACAGTCTGAATGTGTGTGTGTGTATGCGTGTTGTATGTACTGTATATGTGAGTTGGGCTTTAAGACAGTATATAAGTGAATGGTGAATAGCACTTTGTGTGATGGACTGAATATGTGCGCATACTTGTTTGAGTCGGGGGTGGGGGGGCTGGGGGGTTGAGCTTGATGTGCGAGCATTGTGAAATGGACATGTAAAAGTACTGATTAATCGAGACCTTAAAGTGTCTCCTCCATGTTGTATATACTAAGCGAAGGACTTAAGTGATTTTTGTTAAATTCTATATTTTATGGCTTTTTGTAGACATTTCTTTGTGGGATAAAAAAAAATAAAGAAAATTTTATGGATGCAATCTCGTCTTCATTTCATTTTATTATTAATCAGTCTTGTGTTCCAGTAAAAATGTCGAAACTTCCTTAAAACAAGATCAATTTATTTTAGAAACAAAAGTGTAAGATTAGAGAATAGTTTTATTTAACCCTTTTGCAAATGTTCTAATTGTAAACATAAACCTCTCTACATTTGTTTAGATTTATGCTTAAATAATTTTAAAAATTGCCATTGAATAAAAAATGTAATATATTTTCTGAGAACAAGTCTTATCTTACGCAGTAAGATACTTTGGCATGAGACGTTTGCCAGTGAAGTAAGAAGAACATACTTCAAGATACATTCTCTTATCATCTTACAAAAACAATTGAAAGAAATTTATGTTTAGTTTTGTTTGTTTTTTTACTTGAAAACAGACAAGACTTGAAGACAAAAATACTAAATTAGATTTTGCACTCATGGGGTGTTTCAAGGCCTCACATACTATTATATTTTTATTTATTCTTTTTTAAACATAAAAATATATGTTGAACAATGTTTACACTATTAGTATAGGTACACACATGAAGTAATAAAATAATAAAAAATTTTAAATGGAAAACTGACTTCCCTTATCGACTTATATTGTTTATCATGGAAAAAAGCATCAGCTATGACCAACGCAAAAGTAAATGTTCTGTCACCTTGAGCAGCTCTTTACTATTTTATATATATCGAAACAGGATGTGAACAAGTCGAGCTCCCTGGAAACTGAGTCTACTTCCAGGTTAGAGGTTAAACTGTGCTGCTCGTCTCATCAAAGGCAGGAACTGACTTCCTTTGGCTGCCGCAACTCCTCAAATCTGAAAAGCCAAACACAATATACTCAATTGTGATGCATATTCATAATTTATCACAGAGAGATGCTTTTCTTAAGATCCGAAATTAAATTTGTGGATTGCACATGAATAATTTGTTTTGATTTGATGTGGTTCTTGGAGAGGACGAAGACGAATAAAAAAAACAAAGCACCTTTGAAATATCAAACAAATGTGGCGCAGTGGTTTTCGTTTGTTTGTTTATTTTTTATCCCTGTACTTCTGAAGCAAAGCCTCCCTCTTGATACAAACAACAGGCATCTCATATGTCTTCCATGAGACAGTAATTAATATCTAATCAAAGTCAACACTCTCTAACGCACAAAGAACTATTAAATATGTAATCAAAGAGAACACTCCACATGCCACAAAGGAAACCACGCCCCTCTTCTGCATGCCTTTGCTGTCATGGAAATGAAATAATTTCTGCCTCAGAATTTTTTTTCTAAACCTTCAGGCTTAATTAGATGGCTTTTCCTGTTCATTTTGAAGTTTGCTCTTTTCAAACAAACTCTCAAATCACTTCTAAAGTTGGAGACATGGAGGTATGCCATGTGGACGTATTTACGAGAGCTGCCACTGCAGGGAATGAAAAATAGAAGAGTACTGAAAGTTCAACCCTCAGCCTGTGACATGAGTGTTACCTCACCTGAGAGACCGAGCTTCTTGCAGCAGGAGTTGCAGGTGTGCTTGATAACAAAGCTCTGGATTGCATCATCACCCAAATTGGCAGGTCCAAACGCCATCTCTCCAGAGGAGCTAAACAGGAGCAAACTTTACTTAGAAGCAGCGTAAACAAACGCGTTGAGAAGTACAAATCTTAGCAAATACATTGAAACGTTTTGGATGCTACACATTTATTGTGCCTATTTACCTTTTATCATCAACTCTGATCAGTGAGGGGTCTGTGAGGTCCGCTCCCACACCTTCAGCCAAAAATAAAAAATCAATTCATCACCTTTCAAACAATAATAATAAATACAGGCTCTTAGAGTAAGCCTATCTTATACCTTGTAGATCCAGCACTAGCAGTTCCCTGTTGGTGTACTCGTATGTCCAGTGAGAGAATGCTAGCATTGCTTCTTCCAGACCAGAGGAGGGCGAGATCTCCTCTCCTGTATTATTGTTGTATTTCCTGAAATGACCGCTCATGTTCTTCTCAACAGTCAACCACTGGCCGTCAGAGCGCCAGTGCAGCAAGGAGACATCCAGAAACCTGCACACATACACGTGCTTAGATTTATGTATACTTGGTCATCAACTTCTTGTCATCGTAATAACACAGAAAGGATTCATAATGCTGACCTAGGACTGTAGGGCACACTGCTGGGTTTAATTTGGTTGAATCGCTGCATGAGTTTCTGTGCTGCTCTCTGTTGTTGTATTTCCTGCAGGGTGAAGAGAAATTAGTCAACAGAGAAGCAGAGAGAATAATAATGAATAATAAAACCTGCAAAGTGATATATAATAATAAATCCAGTATATAAATAATTTAAAATAATTTCATCAAAAATTTAAATATCTATCTATACATGTATGTGTATATATATACATATACAGTGGTGTGAAAAAGTGTTGGCCCCCTTCCTGATTTCTTTTTTTTTTTTTCATGTTTGATTTCTTGATTGCGACCAGGTGTGGCAGTAATCAGGCCTGGGTGAGGCTAGAGTAATTGAACTCAGGTGTGATAAACCAGTTTTAACAGGGGGGCAAACACTTCTTCACACAGGGCTATGTAGTTTTGGATTTTGTTTTCCCTTCATAATAAAAACCTTCATTTAAAAACTGCATGTTGTGTTTACTTGTGTTATCTTTGACTAATATTTAAATTTGTTTGATGATCTGAAACATTACAGTGTGACAAACATGCAAAAAAATAAGAAATCAGGAAGGGGGCCAACACTTTTTCACACCACTGTATATATATATATATATATAACTACTGTCAAAATTGTGGAATTTGATAAAATAATGCAGTAAAATTAGTATTATTGTGAAATATTACTACAATTTAAAAGAACTATTTTCCATTTTAGTATATTTTAAAATGTAATTGGCATAACAATTTGCCTTCAGAATTGCTGTGATGTCGCATGATCTTTCAGAGATCATTCAAATATGCTGATTTGGTGCTTAGTTATTATCTATTATTATTGATGGTCAATTAATAAATAATTAATAATGGTTCTTATTATCAATGCTGAAAACAGTTTTTGCTGCATAATATTTTTGTAGAAACCCTGACTTTTGAATGGTAGTGTTTCATGGTTTCTACAAATATATTAAGCAGCAAAGACTGTTAATAAAAATGAGATATGTTTCTTGTACACTGCTTCTCGAATGTTTCTTAAAGTAGCTTATTAGAATTATTTCTGAATGATCATGTGACACTAAAAATTGGAGTATTGGTTGCTGAAAATTCAGCTATTTTAAATTGTAATAATATTTATATTACTATTTGACCAGCCTTAGTGAGCATATGAGACTTTAGAAAAGTTTGACCAGTTTTAATTGTGTGTGTGTGTGTGTGTGGTATATACACACATAATTAAAACATCTGCTGTATATACTAAGTGTAAAAATGTAAACAACTAAATTTACATGCATCAATTTTAGAAATGTTTACATTTAAAATGTAAAAACTGTACCCGCAGACAGAGATGAAGTGAAGTGCTGATTGGGAACACTTTCTGCCAGATGCGAACCACCTCTGGCCTGAAGGCTTTCACCACGTATACTGATCCCAGCTTCAACACATCACCCTCAGCCCAGGTACACACCACCTTGGTGGCCCTGCGCAGACCCCCATCCAGCACCTCCTGGTGGGCTAAAGGCTGAAGAACAGCTGTACGTCCGTGCTGAATCCAGGTGGAAATTTTAGAGGACTGATCTTCAAGTGAAGACCCTGCTTCTGTCTCCTCGAGTGTATAAATACAGACCTCAACACCACCTGCACAGAGCAGAGGACATTTATGTAAATAACTAAATCTGTAAATAATAAGTAAATAATAAAAAAAACTATGGTTTGATTGTTTACCCAATAATGACACAGGGGTGAATGGTATAGAGTGAGCTAGTCTCATAAGGTTGTTCCTCTCCATTGCTGAAAGAAAAAAAAACACCAGAGACCAAAAGAGATCCATCATATCCACAGAATAACAAAACAAAAAATATTTGAGGTTATAAAGTCTAATTATTACTCACCTGAGTAATGCTGGCCTAAATCTTCAGTCAACTTAAATGTAGAGCTCTTTACTAACATTACACACAGACAGAGCACACCAAAATCAATCCCATGCAATTTACTCACAACATAAACAGAATTACCATAAAAGTACAAGTAACTTACCTTCTTGTGTCATGCTGCTTACCCTACAAGAAGTAGAAAAATTAGGTGAACAGTTAGAAATATTTCTTCTTAATAATTAACATCTCATCAAATCAAAAACTGAACTTACGAGGGTCTTTGACTGATAGACCTGGCCCAGCTGCTTAGAAGTGGCTGCCCGGGGGTCACAGTGTTCTGAGGAGAGGTCATAACATTCAGCCCATCAAATGTCTCACAAACAGGACAGAAATCACCTTCATGATGTGAGCACTACAGGTGAACTATGCTGGGCCTTACCAGCCATGATGGGGCCAATTTTGTGAAATCCACTTGGTCAACATCTAATAAATAGAATGAAAAATGATCCCAGTGACATTTTGCAGGTTGGTGTGATTTCATTTCAGGTAACAATTCCAGAAATAAGCTGAAATGTATCTAATATAACTAATTTAGACATACAAATATATATATAATATTATTTCAGGGTTTCTGCAGATTTTATGAAGGTAAATGTAAGACTTTTTAAGACCAAGTACAGAAAACTTAAGGAATAAATTGAATAGAACAAAATACGTCAATATGGTCTCTAAATAAATTGTATTAGCAGCGTTTCAAAGTTAGAAAATACAACTTTCAACAGATCTCCATTAGTCTGAAATTCATTTTACAAGAAAAAAAAAGCACACTGCAAAAAAAAATGTACGTTCTTCATAAGTATTGTTCTCGTTTTCCAGTGCAAATTTCTAAAGATTCTTAAATCAAGACACATTCGCTTGCAATGCAAAATTACATTACATAAAAAGTCTTGTTTTATAAGAAACTGATCAAAATGAAGCAAGTTTATGATTAAAACAAGAACAAATATCTGGTAAAATATCAACTTAATTCAAAGGGAAAACAAGTTTCCATACCCCATTAACAGATATTTGTTCTTGTTTTAAACATAACCTCACTTAATTGATCTGATCTCATTTCATTTTCCATCTCAAGTAAATTAATCTTGATTCAAGGACATTAAGGAAAACAAAACAAAAATGAGGAAGATACTCATTTTTTGCAGCGCATGCAAAATTCAGTGGCATGACTTTGTTAATTTAAGACTTTCTGCTCCAATTTAAGAGCCTTTTTAGCCCTTAAATTGTGGAGGCCCTGGACGGGGGCACATTAAAACTGTTTAAGACCTTTTTCAGACCCGCAGGAACCCTACATTTGGGCATCAAAAAGTTTGAAAACATACTCAGCTGGGTTAGACTGACTGAGGTTCTGAATCTCCGGTCAAACAGGCCTTTTACTTTCCTCCTCATTTTTCTGCGTGGGTCAACCTCATGCATGCATCCCCGTGTTTCATCTAGTTTTACCTAAGAGACAGTGGCATTACTTAATCATATGTTTATCACTAGGTCTGACTGCTTGAAATTAAACAGACATGACAGGTTGGCTTACATTCTCTGGGGTTCCTGCTCTGGTCTTTATGGACTTTTTCCCAAATGACCTTTGTCTCTTAAAGATCTTAGATAACCCTAGAGTCACATACATTAATGGATTAATTAAAGGGGTCATATGATGCTTTTTTAAAGATCATTATTTTGTGTATTTGGTGTAACAGAATATGTTGACATGCTTTAATGTTCAAAAAACACATTATTTTTCAAATACTGTACATTATTGTAGGTCCTATATGTATGACTCCGCATTTGAACGGTCAATAGCAAATACTTAAACTAATAACTAAACAGTAGCTGATTCAGAAGCGCCAGATTGTCATAGCAAAGTCAGAATTACCTCCACTCCTAGGTTCATGAAATGGTCGTCCATAAAATGCATTGCTGATCTGTTGTAAGTAATCTTAAAGATTCCTAAATGCATCTACTTTCGGAAGGCCAAATAAAGTGCTTTTGCTTTCGCCTAGAAACACGCAGCGTCTCCCTGACATGGCTGCTTCAACACTAACTGCGGTTACTGAAACCACGCCTTCTTTCTTTGCGTGCACATTTGGGCCGCATTATGCAAATATTTCCACATAGTGAGGTAAATATGTGGGGGCGTGTTAGAACGAGCCGTTTTAGGGGGGCGTGGCAGAGTCTTAACTTTGATAAAGAATATCTCTTTGGTTTTGAGACTTTAGTCTTTGCAACTTCAGGGATCTTATCTATGCACAATCAGCTTGTAACACTCCAAAGAGAAAGGAAAACTTGAAATCGCATCATATGACCCCTTTAACACAAACTGAGATTGACATATAGTGTGTGGTTTTTATGACTTGCATCCATAATACCTCTCTGGTCATGGCTGTGTTGGGGAGGCGCCAGAAGTGTCCGTCTGCCGTGCTCTGATGTCGAGGCATCAGGCATGGCCACAGTCTCCATGCTGGCCGAGAGCGAGCGGCTCTGCTCCAGATCAAAGGCCCATTTCCTGCCTAAAAGTCCTTGAGGTCTTGTGACGTGTCCAGTATCATCAAGCCTGTAGAATGCCGGGTTTCTGATCCCCACTGATCGATCCCCATCACTGTGGGAATCTGTAAGCAGGAATGTATGGCTGGAGGATCTGGACATTGCATGTAAGTTGTCCTCATCATCCTCTTCCTCCATAGACTCCTCATGGCTGGGTTGAAGCTGTAAGTCTCTCAGAGGCATGGTGGGAGAACTGGCACGTGATGGTTCCCCAGATCCATACATTCCCTTGTCCCTCCATCCAGCGCATAGGTGAGGTAAAGAGAGATCGCATACACCTTCTCTTGAATCGCCACGCTGTAGGGGCCACCTAAAACTACAATCTTCTTCCTCTGGGCTTGCAGACATGCATTTGCTCCTGAACTCAAAGGGTCCAACACTCGTCCCTGGTGGCAGCTCCAGGGAAGGACGCTGCCGGCCAGGCCCCAAGCCTCTGAGTAAGGAAGGTGGCATACTGCGGTAGTGCTTGGGAGATGGAAGTGCTTGGCTGGGGGCGACACTTCCGCCAATGCGGAGACAGCAGCTATGGGACACTTGCTCATGGCGGCATGAAATTGGCTGGCTCTGACCAAAACGGGCCACCTCTTGCTGCTGGTTGTCTGTGGCTGAGAGGAAGTTTAGAGTGTCCACTGCTAAAGCAGACAAGTCCTGCAACTGACCCAAGTGACCGTCTAAAGTGCGCATATTGTCCTGGATGATACTGATCTTCTCAGCAACCTCAACTAATATTCCAGCCATCTCTTCAGCCCTAGAAACAAACACCATAGACAAACTTGAATTCATTCCATTTATTTCAGGTAAACCAAATCATTTTAAATGGAAATTCAGATGCATAGCTTTATTTACAAAGTTCAATCAACTGATAGATTAACTAAAAACAAATGATGTAATTTCCTGCTGCATTCAAATGAGATTTGGGAGATGCACTCACTTGTCAGCTGCAGAGCGAATCTGGTTGATTTGACTGCCTTGTTGACTCTCCTTTTTGTCTCTGAAATATCCAGTGACACACTTTTCTTCAAACTCATGCAACTTCTTCAGATCATCAGGGGCCAGGAGTAATTCTGTACGCACACCAGCTATACACTTAAATGTGTGATAATATTGTGTATAAAAAAAGGATTTTAAGAAACAACAGTATGCACTTTTTTTGTATTGGATCAATCATAAATGTACATTAATTTTTATACAAGAAAAACATTTTGAAACTGTGAAAGTAAAACATTATGTTGTCACATTTTGTCAATATTCAACAATAGTGCAAATTGCTAAATAATTGAATTGGGCTGAATTGTGAAAATGTAGCTTGTGTGTAAAACGTGTGTAAATCGAATCAAAAATAATTTCTAACCTAACATGTACACCACTAGTAAACCGATGTTTCTCAGTCAAATTCTGACAGGATCACGATAATCATGCAGCGAAGAATACCAAACTAATACTAAGCTACTAATAGTAATATTTTAATTTAATAGTATAATAATTTAGTATTCTTAATGTTTATTGAATATTTGATTCTGCTGTTATATAACATAAAAAACACTTATTGTACAAAATAACTGAACACTACATGTCATTGTTTAAATTTAATTGGTTCATATTTACATTAATATTTTTTAAATCTTTTGAAATAAAGATGTTTCTTACTTTTTTTTTTAAAGAAACTTAAACTCGTAAAGAACTATAAACTGGTATTGGTATCCTCTACTGTTTTTTTTTTTTTGTATTGTAACAATCCTGCCGAGTCAATAATGCAAGACATGTCAGTTTTGTAAGACATAAAACAGAGAGCTATGATGGTTCATAAAAAATTCACACACTTACTCAGACCAGCTCTTCCCCGTTTGGATGCCTTTCTGTGCTTTTGCCACATTGAGCTGAGACACAATGTTACATGACTGAAAAAGATGAGAGGGGGCGGCAGCCACGGCTTCTCCTGATATGTCATGATGTAACGATAGCGGTTGTATTTCCACAGCTTACGGGATATGGAGCTCATGTCAAAGTAAACATTGCTGTGAAGTAAATAATAATGCAAAGTAGGTTAAACCATCACAAAGCAACCAAGACTCAACAATACATCAACACCGACTCCTGCAACAATCTTCCACTCTGGATGTCATGGCGCATATTAGTCCAACAACTCAACAGACCAAACTATCATCACACCAGGAAACAAATGAAAATATGTGAGCGAATGACAACTTATGCCAAGTCATAAAGACGAAGATGAAGTGCATACTTGAAGAATGCAATAAGTACATTAACCATGATAATGTACTGAACAAAAAGGTAGACGGCCTGCAGGAAGGGGGTGAGGAAAGCTCCAGGGACACAGGTTTCAGGATTACTACATGCTGTCAAAACAAGAAGGGATTATCACAATAGAATCTAACATAAAATATCTTACAAATGCTATTAATAATATCATAGCTAATAGTAATGATAGAGTAGATCATATACAGGACGTGAAGAGTGAACCATAACCTGACAACCAAATATTAGAGATAAGGTTTATTTAAATCAGATGAACTGACCAGACTGAATGGTGTCCTTTTGTTGCACTCACCATCAATCTCTCCAGCATACACCTCCCCAAAGATCATCCAATAGGGCTGAAAGACTACATCTCTGAGCAGATTCCAGGACGGATCCTCATTAGGTGACAGAATGGACTTCCTGGACGTGCCAAAACTGACCAGCACAATCGCCATAATGACTACGATATAGAACATGTTGCTCATCTGTGGGAGAATATATACACATTTTAAATTATATTTTCTATTTTTGTGAAATGTATCACAGTATTAGAAAACAACTGATCTTATGAAAAACATAACAACAGCAGCAAATGTTGCATGTAGACAGTAATTATGTATTGATGCATTTAAATCACACACCATTTTGGTGATCATGGTCAGGTAGGGTCCTGCATGCTGATTGACAGCAAAAAGGTCCAGAAGCCTGACAGACCAGAAGATGAAATCCAAAGAGTAGACAATGTGACTGGCTAAGCGTGTTTCTTGATGCCACCGGAGGGAGACCCCGACCAGGAACAGGAGGATGCCCATGAAGTCATTGATATTCCAGTACTCACTGAACCACACCTTCAACTTCTTAGTGAACTTCCTGGGCTCTAAAACCAACACCTAGAAAACACGTGGTACCCATGTGTACCCAGCACTCTCAACACAATATACTTAAAGTCCGCGTGAACCGGAAATTGCTGCCGACTTTATTTCCGTGTAGTGACGTATTTCCAGCTGAAACGGAATATCGAACAGAGGGCGTGGTTTTATTTTTGCGCTCCTCCTCTCTGTCTCTCACTCATAGCAACCTAACGGTTGGAGGGGTGCATTTAAGGATATTCTGCCCAAGCCGGAAGGAATGACATTCCAGAGTGGAAGCAAATGTTCAGATTTTTATTAAAGATTACCAAGACAAACAATTTTTTTCAGCGGATTAACTTGCACGGATTAATTGTTCACATCAAGACTAGCAATGTGCGCTAGTAAAGTAAATAAAGTCCATTTTGATTTCATGCGGACTTTAAGGAGATTCTCCTGGACTCTGAACTAGTGGGTTGTGAACCAGAATTAAGTAGCAGGCTTGTTCTGAAAAGGTCATGAACAGCAGAGAAAAATGCTAAATGCAAATAATAAAATGTAACTAACCATTTAAAAGATTATAAAGTCCATTTTGATTTCATGCGGACTTTAATATATCAATCAGTGGCTCTGAACTAGTGGGTTGTGAACCAGAATTAAGTAGCAGGCTTGTTCTGAAAAGGTCATGAACAGCAGAGAAAAATGCTAAATGCAAATAATAAAATGTAACTAACCATTTAAAAGATTAAACGCATCCCATATCTGTTGTCGTTTACAACAAATATGATACATGAAATCAAAAAGTATAGTACTGTGGCACAAATTCATCTCTCACTTGTTAAAACTTAGCTAAATTAGACATACCGTAGGAAAGGACAGAATACATATTTGAACATCAGGAACAAAAGTTTATATGCAAATGAAAATAATATACTACTCCAAAGTATGTAGAAAATATTGAAATATTGTATGTTGAAATAATTGGATTGTAATTTACAACAATATTCTAAGTAAATTCTGTTATTAAGGAACTCCAAATAAATAAATAAAAGCCGTTCAAACAAATGTATTTTATGTTATTTTATATCTTGAATCATTATGTAGTCACTTATGCATTAGACTGCTTTTAAATATTAGCAATATTTTGTTGCTGATTTAAAGGAGAGGACAAAAATGCTTTTTGTTTTAATTGTTACACTTAATTGTTCTAGAAATATTTTTTTTACTGTTATTCAGAGATTTTTTAACCAATAAACAATCACTCAAACATTTAGTCAATGGCAGAAGTCTGTTAATAATTCCCACAAGTGCACTGCTGCTGGGTTCATAGATAACAGAAGATGGGGAGTCAGACAGTGCCATTCTCAGGGTCAAGCTTGAGAACAGCCTAATCAGAAAGCAATAGCACCTTACTGAAGACCTTTGGAATCCAGCTTGGTAAAGATAAAACTTTTCAAAGACATGCTTTCTTTAATTGCCATGAACAGCTGCAAAGGGCACTAAGCCAACTTTTCACAGACAAAAGGAGACATTGATGATCTCATACTGTATATTTCTTTTAACTGCTGGAGAGGGGTGTGATTTCAAGGGCACTCACCTCTCGAGCTTTCTCCGCTGCCATGGTCAGGATGTAAGTTATGACCAAGCACTCCTGAATGTTGGGTTTCTCATCCAGCCTCACCAGCACAGTATAAGAGAACATCATGAGGAAACCCAGAAACGCCATCTGTGCGGACAAATCAAATCTTCAGAGATGCAAGGTTGAAAAGAGAGGCAGCTGGAGCGAGAGGGTGTGAAAGAATGGGAAGGTGAGAGAGAAAGAGAAAGGTGGAGGTGGAATTAAGGGGAAACCTACTGTGTGAAACCAGAATTTGACCACTGGAGCCGTATAGAAGTCATACACCTTTCTGGTCCAGGGACAAAGACACCTGCTCCCTCTCTCCTCATCACCCTGAATCTAGAAAAAGCAAGTTATTAAAAACTACAACTTTTAATAATCATTATAATTTTGTGAGAATAGAAGTCCACCCAACAACTACAACACAGAGAAATAATATCTTTGGAATCAACCCGACATTAAAGAGTGAGCATTTAAAGCATCAGATGACAAAACTGCATCACATGCTTAAAAGAGAACGCTTTCATCTGTTGATGTAGATGCTAATATAGTTATCTTTATATTTATCATTCTTGGTGTGAATGGCCCTCTGGTGAATCGGTTCAATCTATTTAGACAGTTCAGGCAATTGATTCGCCAATTCATGTCCCTGCACAGAAATCTTGTGCTAATTTTGCTGTGTTGTGCTAATATTGTGTTGTGCTAATTTAGTTGTTGCGACTAGTTTCCGTTGTGTTGCGGTTTGTTTCCATTGTGTTGTGCTAATTTCGTTGTGTTGTGGCTTGTTTCTAGTGCTGTTAAACAATTAATCGCATCCAAAATACACACATATACAGTATATGTTTTGAAAATATTTACATGTATATATTTATATTCATATAATTTATAATATGTAAATATATTTAATATATAAACATAACATTTTTTTCTTAAATATACATGCATGTGTGTGTATTTATATATACATAATAAATATACACAGTACACACATATATTATGTGAACAAAAACTTTTATTTTTGGATGCAATTAATCGCGATTAATCGTGTGACAGCACTATTTTTAAGATTGTAAGAATAACTAAAAAAAAGTTCAACTAAAAGGTTCTTTCAGGAACCCAAAATGCTGATTCTATCCGTGGTATTGATGTCTTTAAAAATGTGCCTTCTCCTTTTTATCCTCCAGTGTCTTGATTAAATATCATAAAGAAAGTTGCGTCTAGTTTCCATTGTGTTGTGGAGATTTAGTTGTGTTGTGCACTATTGGGCCACCGTATTTAGCACATGTTGTTTGCATTACAAGCTTTAGAGTGAGGAAAAACACAAACTGACAGAGAGTTCTTCTTCAGCTCCTCTGCCATGCTGTCACCCATATTGCTGTCTCCGGCTTCCACCGCCATAGCACGGTAAAGCTTGCAGGCCACAACCGCCCTGGCCATAGCCTGCTCTCCATGCTGCCACAGAAACATCGCCATCTCTTGCCGATGCTTGAGCACTGCCCACACAAACAGGTCGTTAAAAGTGCATAAAAACTCGGGGCTCGAGGTTGACATCACGTCCTGAGGCGCAACCGCACCCTCCTGCAAAGACACAATTTTGGGTGTTTTTAATAAATGGAATGATTGTGAATGTATTCATACGCATATGACTCAATATTGCGGCTGTGAACAGAATGGAGATGTTGAGAGAACCTGGTGTCTGCATGGCCGAGCAGTTCTGTGGAAATGAGAGCGAGATGGGGAGGTCTCTGGAGTTGGAGCTGCTTTCCTGGCTTTGCTGAAAGGGCTGGATGTCTCCTTACCACCCTCCTATCCCAGATCAAAAAAGCTCATTAAATTTAAGTTCAATAATGTCTACAAGAAATGGAAACTCACTTTCAAAACACAGAAATACATGGATTATTGGAAAAGAAAGCAGACCTTAGCTGGGTTATGAATGCGACTGTACATGGCTCTGAAGCTCTTGCGTGTATATGTGCTTCGATAAGCTCCGCCAATTAAGTATTCAATCACCATTCCAATGTCAATTAAAGATATCCTATAAACAGCAGGCAGACGAGCCTACAAAAACACAGAAAATGCTTATGGAAACACTATTTCAGGTCAAGGACCCCTTGGTGGATTGACAAACAGAACATTTTAAGCCTGGCCTATAATAAGGATATATAATATAGAACACATTTTGGGGTCAGTAAGGTTTTAGTTTGGAGCCATAGTAAGATTATTTTACGTTTTTAAAATAAGTCGCCAATGCTCATCAAGGCTGCATTTTGTATTAAAAAAAACAGCAAAAAGAGTAATGTTGTAAATACAGTAAACTTGTAATATTGTTACAATTATAAAAAACTGTTTCCTATTTTAATATATTTTAAATTGTAATTTATCTCTGTGAGAATTACTCTAGTCTTCAGTGTCAGGTGATCCTTTAGAAATCATTCTAATATGCTTATTTGGTGCTCAGTGAATTAAGTTAATTAATTGCGTCAATATTGTATTTTTGTTTAAAGGATCCACAAAAATTCAAACAATTATTGTCTGACTTGCTGTTGACAACCCACACAACGAAGAACAGAAATAACTTCAAGGTTGCACTTCACACAAACCTGTTTGGCATCCTCAATGATGTGTCGAAGAAAATGATCAGAGGAGCCTTTATGCTGGAAAATACAAATGATTTATCATAAGAAGGATCAGAGATATTTGCTTATATCAGAGACAAAAGCTTACTGCAAGTGGTAAATGGGCATTACTATATTGTAGAGCTGTTCCAGACGAGAAATGGTCAAGAAGCATCTCATGGTCATGCCGTTCTCAATCAGCAGCTTCACAAAACTGACACGATCCATTACCAATGCATCCAACATGGTCTGCTCCAGGGATCCCACCTACCAAATCCAGCACTGGATTATACACGTCTGCTCTAACTCATAAATGCCTTAATCCTGGCTGTAAAATCATAACTGTACCTGCCATTGTTGTCCGTACACTAGAATGTTGTCCTTTGCCACATCAGCTCTGTCCCAGGCCAACGTGATATTTAGCTGCTCCTCAGGGGAAGCTCTGGTACCTGTATTTTCATTTTTGGATGAACAACCACATTAATCCAATATTTAATTAGTATGATAACAATATTACATACCTCTCAGTGATGTAGTCAGGATCGCAACATCTGCCTCTTGAAGGTCCTCAGATTCAGAGTCAAAAATGGTGATCTAAGATGAAAAGTCATTGAAGTATGACCTCATTTAAAAAATCAGCCCATAAAGGAAAACTAATTTTAACCAACACAGATGGCCAGCATTAAAACAGATTTGTAAACTAGTGGCACTTCTGTGGTGTCATGTTCAATATAACCAGACGTTATTTATTTTGTTTGGTATTAGTATGAAACCACCAGCATCCCATACCAATATATAAATGCATGTAACTCTATAAGACACCCAGAGGGGATGTTCTTCTCTTAACATGCCTTTGGCATTTCGTCTTCACATGAGTGATTCATACCCAATCAAAAAATCTGTGAGCCTGGGGACCAAATTAATCCCTTCTACTCGATTAATATGGAAATACGTTTCATGCGCCATCATTCCAATTATTCTGTTCTCTCTCAATTTAGAAGCTCAGAGATGTGGGGTGGGTGTGGTAAACTACAACATTCCGTTTGATGGAGGCTTAGCATCAGAGCTTTCGGCATAGTGACAGAGACCGATACACAGCAGGCATCTTATCACACAAAACAACCAGTGTTTACCGCCAAGTAGGAGGAGAGAGGAAGAAGACAGAAGAAGAGGAAACAGCCAGAGAAATGCAGAAGGGGATTTGAATATGTTGCACTAGGTTCACAGCTTAGAGGACAAGAACTTCGCTGATGAGTGAGGAGTTCGAGATTAAGTTAGGACTGACTGGTATTTTCATGAACTGACGATTAGAATCTGCAAACTGATCTGCATCTCCTGAAACCAAGAGAGTGAAAATGTCTTTTAGTTTTGGTTTTAGAAAATTATAATAACCCAGGTGAGCACATGATTAAAGAGATCAAGTAATTCGTCATCATCTATCCAGAAAATGTTCAGTCAGTCATAATAAATAAATAAACACTGACATTTGAAATGACTTTGAGATTAATCTTAGTACATGGCTAGGCACCAAAAATAAAATTTAATGAAATTAATAATTATTTTTGTTTGTAGAGTGATACAAGAGACATGAAACTAGCAGAGCTATGTAGGAAACCAGTTGTTTGTGACAATGGTCAATGACACTGTTTAGCAGCCATTATACAAAAATTTGTCATAATTGACCAATCAGGGTCATGTGTTCCAACGAGATGTAAAATAAGGTTATTTAACTTACAAGCTCTCTATATTCCATGCATTCCATGAGTATGCTGAGAAGTTCAGAGGCCTCTTGTCTGTCCACAACAAACATTTCCTGAATCCTCAGCAGGACATCCTCCTTAATATCTGAGTCCAACATTCTATGACAAATATATGAGACATACATACAGAAACAGGTCAGACTATTCAATATAACACAACCCAAATATTATTTAAATTCATGTACACTTATGTGAGACATGCCTTTCTACAGCTGTTTGTTTGTGTATTAAAGCCAGCAGGTCTGCAGCTCTGCCTGTTCCCTCAAACACCAGCACAGGCACAGGAGAACTTCTGCGCACATACTCCAGCACCACTGAGAGGATGGCAGGACCCCCTTCTACTACAACACACACTAAAGGCACATGCTCAGGCAGCCCTGAAATCAATACACACACACACACACACATATATACATCACAATATATACACATCAGACATGCACATATCTTTTAACTCAAAAGACATTTGACATTTGTAAGAAAACACTTACTAGGGTGGATTTTCAGAAAGTGTATATGCCTTTCTAGCCTTTTCCTCAAGTCTATTTGACAACCTGATTTACCCATGGTCCCATCATCAACTAACAGGAAGTGTGAATGCATGCCGTTCAGGCTGGCACGTTTACTCAGAGGATTACCTAGAGCCTGGTAGTGCCTCAAAACCTAGGACAATAAACCCCAACATCAGTATAGCAAAACCAAAACAAAATAAAGAAAATATATATATAACATAATGCACGAAATAAACCAGTACAAATAATAATTGAACAAAGTAACAATTAACAAATTGTCAATGTCACAGATTTACTGCAGTGGTCCAGAAATGCATAATCTTAAATGCATTATTTGTTTTATATCATCACATTTCTTTGTTTTGAATCTCTCAAAATCCAGGTTTAAATGATTTTGAATTTTGATTTTGAATCCCCTTCACCTCAGATCCTACTGTACATTGCAATATAATTCAATAGCATAGTGTAGAAATGTAGAACTCACATCCCGGCCAATAAGGTCACTGTTATTCTCAATAATGCCCCAGGGTGGGATCCCGACAACATTCCTCTTCCTGTGGTCATGTGACCCATACACTTTTACAGCATCACCAACATACTTAGACACACCTGAATACAATGAGAAAGAAGGTCCAGTGTTGTTACTGTAACTAAAACTATTAAAAATGTTTTTGGTAAATTGAAATATAAAGCTAAATCTAAATATAAGATGAAAACTTTAACTTAAGATACTTAATTGAAATGAGAAATACTGCCTTGGCAAGTAAGTGAAATCAATACATTTTTTAAGTACCAAAAATACTGCAATATAGATATATTTTTAAAAAAACAAACAACAACATTTCTCAAATTTAAAAATATGAAAACAGAAAATATAAAAATAAAAGCCAATTTAAAATATTAATAAATACTACAATAGGATATAAATACTACTAAAATAACCGTGATAAGGTCATAATGATATGAAAGAGGTTATTGTGTACTGTGCTTCACTAGAAAACAGTGTGATAGCAAAAACAAGACATTTAAAGTATATGTATCCAGCCACAAACACAAACCCGTATTGATCCCGTCAGTCAGTATCCATGCTCCAGTGCTCTCTGCAGCTGTGATGAGCCCTGTGCTGAAAGCCTGGCACACCCGTGGAGACAGAGGGAAGTTGTCTGTCCCTCCATGCACAGAGATCACCAACTTGGGCATCTCCATGTGCCATTCTCTCAGCATCAGTTGGACCAGGAGCTCTGGTGGAGTGTCACAGGAAAGACGCACATACTGTAGAGAAAACAGCACTTTACTGTATGAACTATGCACAATTGTATATAATATAAATACACTGTTAATAGGCATAAACACATCTGCCTGATAAGTTTTTCCTCCTTGTAAGCACCAACCTTGGCACGACACGTGCGCTTTGTGCTGCCCTGGAAGTCCAGTGATCCGAAAGCATCAGTGGGGCTGACGCTGGTGTGTTGCAGCACTGACCACTCCTCCTCATCAGGACCAGGGCCATGTCCCAGCAAGCCAGAGTACAGACTCACATGCTCCGCGATCAGCCTCCCACAGCAACATCTGAGGAAAGAGATTAAATGAGCTAAATGAGAATAGAAGAGAGATAAAAGGTATAGAAATTTGTTTCCATCACGGAATTTTAAAATAATGAGGTAATTGTGACTTTTTTTATGACACAATTCAGACTCAGATTCTCAAAATTCTGAGAAAGAAGTCAGAATGGCACAAATCTTGCAATTCTGACTTTTTTCCTCAGAATTCTGAGTTTACATATTGCAATTCTGTTTTTTTTCCCACCATGGTTAAAAAAAGTAAAAAAAGGTAACTGCAACAAGTCTGATTTCTTTTTTTCAGAATTGCAAGAAAAATGTCAGAATTATGAGATATAAACTCCTATTTTACCTTATTTTTAAACCTCATGTTTTTTTTCCAGTCACGATTACTCGATATGGTGTTAAAAATTATTTTATAGAGATCACACTCACAAAGAGCAACATCTATACAATGAAATATTTTATGTCCGAGTACGACTACAAGACATTTAACTATTTAACTGACAATCAAATCCCCTGATTTTACCAAGAATTCCCATGACTTTTAAAGACTTGAATACCACAGTTTAAAAATGTCCATGACTGAGCTTTATGCACAAAAATGATTAAAATGAGAAAACATTTTCATGGTAATAAATAGAGGATGAATGTACTGATGATCAAAAAAATAATACCTTACTAAGCTTTGGCACACTTGACACACTGGATAACACCTGCAAATAAGCAAAAGCTGCAATTCATATGGGTCCTTTAAGACAAAATGAATAACCTCAGAAGCACCTGATTAACTCGCATTGTCATTGCTAAAAGATTATATGCAGATATGACAACCAAGATTATTAAGCACACCTGTGATGATCACGTGAGGCTGGCAGAAATTTCACACATTCTCTCTTGGAAAAAGTGGCCTGGATCCAACTGCGTCTAGACTGAAGGGAAAACAGCTGTACTATAAGGTTTGTTATACTATAGGCCTACTTTAATGAGCCGAGATAACCACCACATTAGAAGCATTGCTGTTATTGTTACTTAAAACGACTTAAAAGTCTTTATTAATTCATAATTTTAATAAATACAATATTAGTATATAAATAATGCTAAAACAACCCAGATGTGGTCATAAAGAATTACAGATAAACAAACTTTCTTAGGGCATCTTTTACACATCTGAGTTAAGGCTGCTCTGAATGTGTGCCTCTGTGCCTGCTCAAAATATGAAAAGAGGTAATGCCATAAAAGCCAGATTAAATTATGACACACTTTAGCTTATAGTATCAACATATACAGTTATAACGGCTGTGTAAGTGCATTTATGACACCTCTAAGCAGCATTAAACAGTATATGTAAACGCATCTAAAAAGAAGCCACTTCAGAAGCACCTCTATGCCAACTTTTTACAGATATAGCCTACATACAACTCTTATTTATTGTGTGAGTGCGTGTGCGTAATGCAACGTACCATTTCTCCTCAAATCTCCTTCACAGCTGAGTCAGTCATGAATACTTTTAGACAGCCTTTTCAGCCTTGCAGATTTTGCGGATAAAAAAAAAAACAATGCATTGGTGTGAGGTGGAAAATTACGTCTATACATCCTTTTCCGGGAATTATTAGGTGAAATACAAGACACAGATGAGAAACAATATTCCTAACTTAAAATAACTACATCTAGCCGACCAAACAAATAAAAAAGGGTGGAGGAGGGCGTCCTCACCCAAAACAGAGACTGAAACATACAGTACTTTCACTTACTGTAGGCTACTACAACCTGAAGAGCCTCATCTGTTCAGATATAAGTGCATTTGAAGAAAAAGAGGTCGCAGACTGCTGTAACTACGCATTTAAAACAACAGTGCTGTGTGGAATGGGGAATGAGATAACGCAAACACAAGTTTTAACACGTCTTAGAGTAAAGCCCTGTAGGATACAACTTTTCGTTTCATACAACAAGGCAGCTACAAACTTATACCATACGCTGACGCTCTGCACAGCTGTTTAATTACCTGTGTAATAGCGTTGTTTTCCCAGTCATGTTTTCCATAAATTCAGCGGATTCTTATTCCTGCATTAAACGCGCATAATAGATGAGATGCGATCAGCTAGGAAGTGGGTGGTCTCTTCCAAGGGCTGTAAAGTGTCGAGTGTGGACACGCAACTGGAACTTTAATGCGAACTTGTTTCGTTCTGGGAAGCTCGTGCTTATTCAAGAGAGACCAATAGTAGTTGCATAACAAATGTAACTTCATTCTTCACATTCTTCCTGTGTTCATTTCGAAATGTTTCTTAGATGCTATGAGATTCAAGTATTTTTTTCTCGCTTAAAGACTTGGTTTCAAAAGCAGCGATGCAAAGCGGAAAATAATGTTCGTGAATGACTAACTTAACGAGCGCAGGCGGTTAAAGATAGTTAAGGAGGAGCGCAAATAATGAAAAGACTGACGTTCAGCCAGACCTCAATCACGAGATCCCATCTCTACAAACAAACAATGTTTAGTTATGAAAATCTTAATTGCTGCATAAATATCAGAAAACATAGCTGCAAATAGCAGTTAATGGGTTTATTTGCGCATAAGCTCACGATTCCTCGCATTTAAAATAATACTGCAACTAGTAATATAGGCTACTGTTAACACCATTTCGATGCATTAGTTGTACGTACGGTCAAGTTTCTCACCGTTATAGCGCCTCCTTCTGTCAAAAACCGGATGTAACATTACATGCTTGCGACAGGCCCACCGAGTTTACTGACAATTTGATGTTATTAATCTTATCTAATATCTTATGAAATCGGATTGGCTGATGGCTGGCATTATTTTTTAAATATGTAGTTGTCCTCATATATCAGTTTACATCAAACACATGGTATAATAAAATATTTACAGTATGTCTATCATGCCAACAGTTGCCAACATACTTACATTTTTATTTACTTATCCCATTCAGGAATTGTAACAAAAATAGTTTGCCATACCTCAAATAGATTTTCACTCAAATGTAATGCATAAAAAAAATCTATCACAGTTTTTCCACTTTACATAATGGTAACCTTCTATAACGGCAAATATACAAATTACATCAAAATATGTAATAATAAAAAAAAAACAATTCTAGCCTGTCATCAGAGGTGTGGAGCTTGATTCTCACATGCTTCCATTTCACCCAAAAAAAATAAAATAAATAAATTTTGTCTTCATTGTCCTTGAGGTTAAAGCATGTCTCTGAAGTACTGAGTTGTTTCATTAGATTAAGTACTAACAAGACTGCACATTACCGGTATTATCATTTTTCATGTACATCCCATTTCCACATATTCCCAGAGGAGAACTCAAATAGAATGAAGTATTAAAAGTTAGCTTACCATTGCAGCACTTTACTTGCATGCTTATTTTAGCTTAGCAGATGAGCAGGACTATCTCTACATTCTGATCACTGCCGATGCAATCTCCTGATAAAGTTGGCATGTTCTCAGCCCTTATTCCCTCCTAGACCAAAGGTCATGAGCACCTGACACAACAGCGTGGAAACAGGTATGTTTCACTTCCTTCGGGTGAGGAATGGGGAAAGAAAACACACACCGTATTTCACAGTAGTTCTTTACCTCTTAAAAAGTAAGAATCATGAAATCAGACAGTTCACCAAGGATATTGCAAGCCAATATCAGTATAAAAAAGAAATTTTATTGCTGTTGAGCAATTTCAAATTTCAACACTGCAATTACGCCACTGGAACGTTCAAAGCACTTGCTGTATCTACTAAGATCAGAAGTACCGTAAAATAGTAGTAAAATAATAATGTTGTTCAGAGAAAAAGAACAAGGCCCTAAAGTTGAAAAAAAAAAAAAAACGAAACACCTAAAGAATAAAAGTGGCTTATACCTACTGAACACCATAAACATAAAAAAGCAAACACAGGTTCAGTCCAAGCAAAAGAACATACACTTGACACACTTGCTTTCACAGCTATACTGAAATAAAAAAAAAGTACACTCATGATTAGTCCAATATGCTTTCACACTTCTGAACACTTAACCTCTGTAGGACAGGAATGTGAGGTCATGTGACCATCACGTGTTTCTACCAGAATGGAAGCTTCTGCTGGAGGCCTTCATGCTGTTCACAGCACAAGGCTTTGTTTATATGTTCATCTAGTGCAGACCAGGGGGAATCATCTCATCATATCCAGTCAGGTAATTTGGCAACACCTAGACAACATCTTAACAAGAATGTCACAGTGCATTGAGGATCTCCTCATGTTTCCATCGCCTCCAAGTCTTTGGTGGAAGAAGCTATGTGGGACCCAGTTGAGGGTTCAGTCTCCAGGAGAGCGAGATCCAACTCAGGCAGTGGATCCCGCCAGAACTGGAAGGAATTGAACGGAGAGAGGTCCTCATCTGTGTGCATCACCTAGTGGGATACAAGCAGAGCTGAATTTCCAAAGTGTTTACTACAGCAACAACCTGCACCAAGACGGGGGAAGTTTAGTAGAAAATGCTAATTATACCTGAAGTACCTTAAAGTCAGAGCTGGGTAGATTACTTGCAAATTGTAATCCGAAACTGATTCCAAATTACATGACAAAAATTGTAGTTAATAATGCAATACATTACACATTTTAGGTAATATAAATCGGTCTACTTTTAGATTACTTTGTTTTGACCCATCTTGTTTATCACATTGATTTAAATAAGATAATCTTGTACCATATTGATACAAAGATTAAGAAAATATATTCCATTCATTGTTATTAACAACATGACGTGCTTAAAACATCACATTATGTTAATGTTTCCCTAACTGGGTTTTGTGAAGGAACTGTAGGGGGTTTGAGAGTTTAATGAAATGCTAATAATTAATTAAATCATAAAATGTTAAATTAAATAATTTTTAAATCAATAAATAAAACGCGTACTATAAATATAAATATTTGATTTGATTACCTGCATGTCATGTGACCATTAACCAACATCAGCGAACCATGAAGATGCAAATGTGATGTTATTATGAAAATATTTATTTTAAAATCTCAGGGGTACTTTAAGTAACTATATTTATGTGAAAGAGGATCAGATGTGCAGAATTTGTGCATTTTAATGTGTTTGAAAGACAAAAACCTTCCAAAGACATAGAAAGTCATGGTTAAATAACCTACTGAGTGATAATTCAAATAAAAATTAACATGTTCATCAGTAGTTGATGCAATGTTGAAACACTTCTTAAACCTGAAATGATTTTTCTAAATCCGGTAGTCAAATGCTGCATATTTTCTGAGTGTATAACCAGTAGGCTATTTTTGAAAGGAAAATGTAAAAGATGAATATGATGAATTAGGGAGAATCAATATTAATTTATTACTATTGTGTAAATAATATGTAATCACGCAATCCATAAAAAAGTAACTGTAGTCTGATTACGAGTACTTTAAAAATGTAATTTAATCTAATTACAAGTACTTAATTTTTGGAATCTGATCATCCAGATTAATCGGTTACTACCCAGCACTGCTTAAAGTTTCATTTTCTTTACAAAATTAATAAAAATTAATAATAGTGTTAAAAAAAGAAGAAAAAAAAAACAGTCGGGCCAAACAGAATGACAGATAAAACAATAGCTATGCCTACTGAAATATGTGTATACTGATAACATATTGGTCATGTACTGCCACCTTATGTTCATCTGCAAGCATTGCACATTGTTCCACCTGACGCCACACAGTAACACGAGAGTTTGCGCTCAGGTGTTTGAAACTTTACCTTGTCTCCTGCAGTAATGTTATTTTCTTCGTCTGTCTGTTTATTTGAGTGCGTCTGAAGCGCGCGAGATGACCGTCGCGTGACAGGTCTCTCAGCACCATCCTCGAATGTTCTAGACTGGCACGTGTTCCTGTCTGCCAGCACTGAATTAACCCTGTTTGCAGCCACCTTTCTCGGTAGGTTATCTGTATCCAGTGAATCTTCGAAATAGCTCGGTCTTTTCCTGCAGCGTTGTCCAGCCAGCGTTAATAACGAGGATGGAATTGCGTTTTGGATTACGTTCACGCCTCCGACCGGGTTGTCGTTGTCGGAGAGAGAACGAAGACATCTTTTATGAGGGATTTCGGGATGCAAAATGTTCTCTGCTCTCCGTTTGGTCATGTGTGCGACCAAAACTCAGCTTCTATAAAAGAGCGGGAAAGACCTTTTTTTAGTACGCAGAAGTTGTTTCTCAGCTGTTTACGACAGTTGTGTTGTATCTTAAGTTGAATACAGCGCCCTCTGTGGCCAGAGAGGACAAACAACAACAACGTTTGTTAGGATAAGTGTCATAATTTATTCACTACCTTCCAAACAATTATTGTGGATTTTGTGGGGTGAATAATAAATAGATTCAGATGCTTAGAACAAACAGTCATGAGTATGAAACAAAGTTCCAATTGTTCTTGATTGTAAAAGTTTTATTACAGTACATGTACAAGATCATGAAAAATCTGTTAAGTTTAAAACAACTTTATTTTAATGCTGCCAACTAGTACAATTGTGATGGTCAAACGTATTTCCTAGGAGACACTGGAGTACTTGTGCAAGATCCAGAGCAGACTCATATTCAGACTGTGAATATGATTTTGATCATAGAAACTCTGATAATGTAAACAATTGCAAGAAAACACTGAAATGTATGTGTGGAGTGACAATTAGTTGTGAAGTTGTGAAGCAGCACCCAAAATCCTGAGGAATATGAATGCAAAGCGAAGCACCAAAACATAACATATATTTTTGGTAAATATCTGAGACGATTCAGCGCACAATAAAGCTCCAGTCTTGTTGTATTACCAGGAATATGCTATAATGTTGGCATTCATGATTAAAAACATCAGTTTATTATTGGGCAATTTGTCTGTGAATTCGTCCAGAGCTTCACCCTTCTAAACGTCATGTTGACTTTTTTGTCTTTAAAGAATCCTCAATCTGGCCATCTCTAGGTGTCTGATCTCCATTGATCAACTGTTCTGCAGGTTTCCGTACAATAAAAAAGACACAGTCGTAAAGGTACTTGAGCATGGAGCGATCGTTCTCTGTGTACGTGCTGGGAACAGACTCTCTCTCCAACTGTTGAAAAAAAATACAGTAATACAATTTATAATAAAAATGTATTCTGATTAAATAAAAAAAAACTGTTTAGCTATTTACCTCCAGGACAAATCCATATTTTAAAATGACAGCCTTTATTTCCTCATAGCTCAGCTCAATGGACAATTCATTGGCCATATTCTCATAGTGGTAAAGAAGTGGACCTTTGAGAACAAATACAAAAAGCATTCAGCCACATGTGTGTTTTCAGGCTTTCATTTGCAGATAACATTTGACTGAAAATGATTATGCAGAATCTGTGACTTACCCAAATTCATCCAGACACCACCAGGTTTTAGAATATTCCAGATGGTTTCAATGTAATCAAGAACATTGTGGGCAGTGTCAATGAAGAAACAAGTAGCAACACAATCCCACAGTTCTGTATGGAAGATAAAACTTTAAATGTTATTGTATGTTGTTAATGCTATTTAAGTGCAAATTATAATTATGTTCATGTTTATTCAAATAAACACAAAAACTCACCAGGGTCACTATATACTTCCTGGAAGTCTCCAGCGACCATAGAGAAGTCCGAGTCTGCTGGGAGACTCTGTGGATTGACATCGGGAAAGGACACGGGTCTTGTCTGATCTGAGGACATTTTGTTATTACTGAACTGGTGAATCCAGGGATACAGTGTCAGTGCATTTTCCTTATCACACCTGAGAGACAAAATATTAGTTAGTGTCCTCATAAATACAAATGTCATGAACATTCCGACTTCATAATTCAAATTTGCTGTCAGCATCATTCTATCCTAGAATGTGGTTTACCTGTTCAGAACAAAATTAGAGGAGAAGAGCATGAAAAAACTCCACTCGTTGCCTTGGCACGAATAGCCCAGATGAGCGATTTCCCATGCAAGCCGACCCAGACCTGCCCCCGGCACTAACACTTTGACCTGAGACACCTCACTGAAGAGAGAAATATTACAAGAATTTCACATTTATACATTTATTTATAATATATAACATATACATTTATTTGAAATAGAAATCTTTTGTATATTTTGTTACATTATAAATAATTTACTGTCACTTTTGATCAATTTAATGTGTCCTTGCTGAATATTTAAGAAAAAAAACTGTATCCACTGATCTATAATAGAGAAATGGATTGCTCATGACATCATAAAAAAAGTGAAGCTACTGCACAGTGCACCATCATATTGCTATTCCCTAGTATTCCCATATATTCTATAAAATTAATAGGAAATTGTACAATTATAATTAGAAAACGAGTCACCGTATTTATATCTGCACATCCTCACAAGTCAAACGTCCTAAGCATGTAAATGGTTATTTGTTTAAAAGTCATTTATATTTATATAGTGAGTATATCACAGTTTCCACAAAAACGGTGTTCAACACTGATAAGAAATGTTTCTTGAGCACCAAATCAACAAATTAGAATGATTTCTGAAAGACTGTGTGACAATAAAGACTGGGGTAAAGGTTGCTGAAAATTCAGCTTTGCCATCATGTGTATAAACCACATTTTGAAATATATTTTAAATATAGAAAACAGTTTTTTTTTTACATCAAAATATTAATAATATAACAATTTTACTGTATTTGTAATCACATAAGGAGCCTTGGGGAGCAAAAGAGACATTAAAAAAAAAACACTTTCCAAACCCAAACTTGTAAATGGTAATGAACAGACACACTATACGTGCATCTTACACTTAGCCAGTGAAGTTAAAGCCATGCACCAATGAGAAGAATTTCACAGAATGACATGTTTATTATATTTACCACTGGTCAGGAGGAAATAGTCTCTGGATCTCCTCTACAATAGGTTTATAGCAGCTGTCCCTTTCCGCTTTTCCTGCTTCACTCCAGTCACGGACAAACTGCTTTAAGGTTGACTTCAGCTTGTCCATGTCAAAAGTCGAGGAAGGCCGTACTTTCCTTGGGTCACCCTTTAAAATGCAAGGAAAACATTATAGAATCATGGACTAACTACAACTAACTAAAGAAGAAAAAAAAAAGTCACACTTCTGTCATCACAACAACCAAATAAAAAATACGACATTATTAATTGTAAGACCTACAGCCACTGATTGCCACCTACATCCTGTCCATATTCCATGTTCTCAAACATATGGAGGCAGTTGTGCACTATGGCCTGCAGCACCTCTTGGTTTCGGTCGATACAGTAGCGAATCTTGGTCAGATTGGGAATAAAGTTTGTCAGAAGTTGCTGGTGGTGATTTGGAAGGCATCGGAACTGCCGCTCGGCTCGATTCACTCGTTCATGAACATGAATTCTGAACATATGGAAGACAAAACAATATTGAGGAGGGGAGAGAGAGAGAGAGAGAGAGAGAGAGGGAGAGGAAGAGAGGGAGAGGGATAGAGAGAGAGAGGGAGAGAGAGAGAGAGAGAGGGAGAGGGAGGGAGGGAGAGAGAGACTTTTTGACTTTAGTTTTAACACACTTTATTAAAATATCTAAAAACAAACGCTACATTATACCCCACACATATCACATTGCAATGTGTTCAGGAGGCATAAAAAAACGCCTAATCAAAATGACAACCATCACCAATTAAACATTATTTCCCAATCCTCACAAAGTGACAGCAAAGCTCCATTTGCACACCATTTGAGAGAGAAAGAAAGAAAGAATATGGACTTATTGTTTAATGGACCAGTGCATTATTTTAAAATTCAAATCAAAATTTACAAGCAGAGGGGTTGATAAACAGAATTCCATAAGGAAATTTTTAATTGTAAATATTAAAGCTCAAAAAGAACAGTTGCTCAGCTTGTGTTGGTGTGGAGCAGATCTTTGGTCTTTGATGCTCCAGCAATCAAGTGTTTACCTGTAGTATTTAAACGCGTTGATGACATTCCAGAAATGTTGTCTCTCTAATCGCGCATCTTTCTCGGAGGAACATTTATTCCTCTCCCGATAGTTGTAAAATACCTCTGGTTTGGACGCTGCTACTGTTTCATTCGTGCTGTCAGCCATTGCCGAACGCTGCAGGCGTAAGTAGTCGACAATCGGCAACAAAACAGAATACAGGGAAGATAATAGAACCCGCACAGTCGATTCGTGGGTTCATTGCTTGACACGACTCACAGTAGTCAAATACAGACACATTGAAAATATATTTGTATATAAAGTATCTGTTTGGGAGACTAAACAAAAACATCGCCAATGATGCCCTACAACTCAAGTATCAAGTAGTTATAACGAATACATTTCTGTCAGACGGTTAAATGTTTGTAGGCTATCAATCATGTAAATAACTAGGCCTACTTCTTTCAGTTTATTAAAATTGTAATTAATAAAATTCTAATTATATTATGTATTTTCCTTTAAATAGCCTATTTAAGACTGTTGTTCCATATGGGAACACGTTTCAACAATATTTTTATTTGAATCCTATACAGCCCAGAACAGCTTTGAAATTTTTTTCCTCCTGAACTTCAGACAGTAGTCCGTTTTTTCTGTAGTGTTTTACAGTCTGTTTTATGTAAAAGCAGCTTTGCACAAAATGCAACTATAACAAGTTATAACTCTCTAATATGTTAGGTAGAATGAAAAATAAACTTTAAAGAAAGCACAAAAGAAAGAGAAACCATGCATGCACAGCATGGCTGAGATATACGTATTTAACAATAGAATTGTAAGAGCCCATGTGTTAATGTCGATGTATTTTGGGCTGTCACCACTTGGGGGCAGTATGTGCACATAGGGTTTTTAAGTCGGCGTTTCATGCACGTAGGTTAAGCAGGCTTGGTGCGTGAAGTATACAGTTTTTACCACACTTCCGGAAGCTAAGGTGTCCACCATTCATCATTGCAAGTATGTATTTCCATTATGTTCAATAAAGTAATCTTAGACTGAAATCGACATGAAGACTGGACATTGGATGTGTGTGTAAAGCATGCGTTGCTATTCCAAGCCTTCGGCAGTTAGCTGCTGTTACAAGAATAGTTATCTATTATAGAAGTTGGGTAATAAAAAGGGCTCTTGCTGGTAAGAGAAAAGACTGTTTTACAACATTTCTTTGATGTTAGAAATCTGTGGTGTCTTTCAAAAGAGAGGAACAGGAACTGGCTGGCTAAAAAGAGTCATAGAGGATTTTGATGCTAATATTTTAAATGATCATATTTTTGATGCTAATATTTTGTGTGGCATCATGTATACAGATGGCATTTAACAATAATTTTTGCATATGCTGCCAATTTAATTTGCAATATTTCAAGTATTTTCAATGTTATGTTTTTTAGAGTTCCACTCCTCCAGCACTTATACTGGAGTAGCAGGTATTCCAAAACTTTCTGTTTTTACTACTGTTACCAAAATGGATGGCCTGGAGGTTAATTACTATTGGCGCTTTTCCACTGCATGGTACGGTTCACTTTTGGGGGGGTTTCCACTGGGTACAGTACCTGGTACCTGGTACTTTTTTTAGTACCACCTCGGTTGGGGTTCCAAGCGTACCGTACCGTTACCAAAACGTGATGTATAAACTCTGCTGATCACGGATTGGCCGGAGAGAATCGTCACTACCTGCGTCACTGAACTTGCGACACAAACACAA